CGACAGGGAAGGGGATCGAGAGAAGGTACGGGAATCGTAGAGATGAGAGTGCGCTTTCGTTGCCCGATTAGAAGAAATGATTGGAGATCGGCGGATAATTACTGCTTGCCCGATTTCTTGTTCGACCGTTCACCTGGAAACAAAAAAAACAAACAAGGGTTCGCGCTTGCTGTTTAAATTCCCCCCTCTCCGCGGGCAGCAACAGCCCGGCAAATCAATCAAACGAGAGATATTACCTTTGGCAGATTTCTTGGTATTGGTCTCCGGTTTACACCTCTTGGTCAGCCGTCGCGTCTTCTCGCAGGATGTATCGCTGTTTGCTTTCAGATTGTCGATTCTCGTCATTACCTGATTCACGCATCCGCTCCACGTGCCTTTCTCGTATCGGCATGCTGCGTTCAATCGAATTAGAATATGTTCCCGAAAACTAGCCTCTTGCCAAGCGATTTAAATTCAGGACTCACCTTTCTTGCACTTCTTCTGTATAGTCTTGGTCTGCTCGCAGGACTTGTCACCCTTCTTGAGGTTCAGAGTGCGCGACCGCGTGTTGGTAGTCGAGTCGCATTCCGACCATTGACCCTTTACGTATCTGCACGACGAGGAGCTGCCGGATGCTGCGTCAGCAGATGCGAAACGTCAATAGAAACAATTGGACGTAACGTCGATCAAGCGAATAGAGAAAGAGAGAGAGAGAGAGAGAGAGAGAGAGAGAGAGAGAGAGAGAGGCAGGGAAAGACTTTTAAGGTCGACGGGGAACGACTTGTAATTACGTTTATATACGTGTGTTACATATATAGACGGTCTATATTCGCGACCGCTCGATAAAATAACGTCACGATGAGTGGAAGGGGGTAATGGATTAATTACAGAAAGAAGCACTCACTTCGTTCCTTAGTACCGCGCACTGTCCGCACAAGCACCTCCTTGTCATCCTCCTCCCACAGATCAGCTTCCGCTCGCGCGGTCGTAAGAATCACCAACAGGGCGACGGCCACGAGAGCCAAACTCCAGCACAGCTTCATTCTGTTGGAAAAAAGAAAAGAGAACGCTTCATCAAGCACTCTTAATTGCAGCTTTGATATTTAATTATTATACAAAGCAGATCCACGAGACGGATTGCTGCTGCCAGGTCGGATATTTCTTTATATAAAAAACGATCCAGA